CTGACCTGCTCAGGGTGGTAACCGGAAAGTCAAACAACTTTGGTTTTCTCGGAGACTGACAAATCATCTCTAGCCAAACAAGCTACTTCAGAGCTGATCTCGCAAAGTTCCCTACATAAATGAACCGGCTCTGAAAGAAAACGGCTTCATTGATAAGCAGTTCCCCAAAGATCCAGAAAACACTTGAGAGAGTTTTCCACTGACCTGTACCATAAACAAACTCTCATGACCCCACGAATGAAGCAAAGCTTTTAAAGAGATCACCCCGCTGACACTGGATAATATACATGTATTTGACTGCGTTATTTTTTTTTAAGATTTTATTTATTTATTTGACAGAGAGAGATCACAAGTAGGCAGAGAGGCAGGCAGAGAGAGAGGAAGGGAAGCAGGCTCCCTGCTGAGCAGAGAGCCCGATGCAGGACTCGATCCCAGGACCCTGAGATCATGACCTGAGCCGAAGGCAGCGGCTTAACCCACTGAGCCACCCAGGCGCCCCTGACTGCGTTATTTTTTTAATCAACCCTTAAAATTATTTTAAAAATTTGAGATCCTTTGACAGCATTATAATTGCTTGTTTCTCTGTTACCCAAAAAGAATTGTTATTGCATTAGAAAGCATATTTTCTTTGCTTTTCCAGTCACATCTGTTACAATACTATTTCCTTCGTGGCATATGTATACATCATTTCCATGGCCTCCTTTTCTGCTTTAAGTATTTGCAGGCACTAATTAAAACAAAAATCAACTTTATTGTGCTATAACGTACATACAGTCAAAGACTCCTGTTTTAAAAGTACATTTCCATGAGTTTTGACAAACTGATATACCTTTGTAACCACTCTGATTGGTTCCTTCACAAGGAGACACGGCTCTCCTATCCCCCTCTAGCTATCTCCTGCGCATAAAAACATGGGCTCTAGCCCTTGAAATGGAAGAATTCCCTGCCCAGCTCCTTGGGCAGAGGGTAACCCACATCCCCTTAAGCACTCTCAGTGCCCAGGGGGTTATTATTAAGAGAAGCCATATTCCATATTCCAACTCAACAACTACAATCATGTATGAGAAAGCATTCTTGCCAAACCTAATGTTCGCTCACCTGGAGCAACACAACGTTGAAAGGCTTTTGCTTTCAGATTTTTTTTTTTTAAAGATTGATTGATCGATCGATTTGAGAGAGAAGGGCAGAAGGAGAGGAAGAGGGAGTTTCCATCAGACGCCCCACTGAGCTCAGAGCTGGACATGGGGCTCAATCTCATGACCCTGATACCATGATCTGAGCCAAAACCAAGAGTTGGATGCTTAACCTACTGAGCCACCCAGGCGCCCCATCAGTTATTTTTTACACATTCTCTCTCTCCCTCTTAACTGACCTAAAACAACTTCGGTGGTTTCTCAAGGGTTCCAGAACCCTCTCCCAGCCTGCTCCCTCTGTCTCCAGGCTCCCCAGTGGGCCTCTGAAGCAGCCACTCTGTGTGTTTTGACCTGGGCAGAGTTCTGTGGCAATTACCTCCTAGATCTCTACTCAAATATTTGCCAAGTGCCCAGCATGTGCCTGGCACTTAAATATGACTAAGACTCTACCTGCCCTCAGTAAGGTCACGTAATTCCATTAATGCAGCCTAATTAATGATGTCAATGGTTGTTTCAGGGTCAGGCTCATATTGAACTTGGAATGAACTTAAGTTCATATACATTGTGGTCAAGGTGGAATAACTCCTTCCAACCTAAGTGTACGGCCTTACAGAGGCCCTTGTTAGCTTCTCGTACTTTGATTTTTGTCTTTTCCAATAATCAACATAAGAACTCTGGCAAGATATTAACTATTGTTAAAAACAAGGCAGTTAATACTTCATAAAAAATAAAGCTGTTCTCTTCTTTCTTCTCACTAAAATTGAAACTAGTTTCTGTGATGAAGAGTGTGTTAGTCTGTGTGGTTTTACCTATGGATGTAAATATATTATTTACACGAAAGCCAAGCTGTGTTTTACCATTTCACCACAAAATATGATAGCAAATGAGAGTTTAACTTTTCCTGTCCTTTTCTTTCTTTCTTTCTTTTTTTTAATTGTAGGTGCTATGCTTTTCCTGGCCAACTCCTGCTACTTACCCTTCCAGACCAAATGCAGATGACACCACTTAGGTGAAGACTTCCAGATTCCTAGACAGAAGAAAGAACCACTTCTGTTTTCTCTCTTTCCCTCTTAGCTCATTACTGCAGCATGCTACTGGGTCATTTACCCATTTTCATGTCTGTTTAGGGTCACCAACCATCCCTGTGTATTGGGGACTGCCCTAGGTTTAGCACTAAAAATCCCAAGTCTTGGGAAACCCCTCAGTCCTGAGAAAATCAGAAAAAAATAGGTCACTCTACATGATCATGAGTAGCTGCTTAACAAAATAGCCATCTTTTATGGGCCAAAACCAACTACTTTGCAAACACTGCCTTATTTTTCTAATATAAAACAATACTGAAAGTAGTTAGGATTATCCCATTTCACAGAGAAAGAGGGGAGACTGAGAGGTAAGTAATTTTCCCAAGATCACAGGGTTATCGGGATTGAATGAACATTTGCCTGTCATACTACCATGCTGTCTTGCCATCTGGGGGCCCAGTGGCAACTCCAAACAACAGGCTCTCAATAAATATCATGAAATCAGTAATCACTTGTCATCATGTTTCTTCTATCCCTCAGCATCAGCTAATATGTGGAAGCTGGTCCTTGATAAAGTTAGCAGGCATTTACAGGAGGGGTCAAGGGATAGGATGAAAAGATTAAAAAATAGATATTTATTTACATGCACTGTTTTTGTAATTAACTTGCTTTTAGGTAAGTGCCACCTACAGAACATGCTGAGGATGGGAATGCCAACAGGTTCCACATGTCTCACGTTCTCTCACAAAGATAACATGGAAGCTTTCATGAAGACCATTTAACACACTTGGCTCTGTATAGAGGAGATAATCCAGCTGCTACGCCAGGTGGGACTTCCTGAACTAGTGGAACAGAGCAGAGTACTGGGAAGACAGGCCACACTTCTCAGCAAGGAGGTGCCCCTTGGAGGTTAGCTTGTCATCTGCTGACCCTAAAATTTGGGAAACATTACTTACTCCATCATCCTCCTAAATAGTATGGGTTACATGTTAGAATTTAAATACTGTGTGCACTCACCCAGCACTTTTTTTTTTTTTTAAACATTGTTGTGGTTGTAATTCTGATGACCAGAAAAGCATATGCTCCATTTTTGGACTTTGAACTTTTTTTTCCCTAACCAAACACCAAATTCTCATTCCAGGTTACAGGGGTTAGGAAGCAACCTTTCCACTCCCACCACAAGTTAAAAGAAGTGGAACTCTGGGGCCATTTCTCCCTATTTTAAAACATAATGTCCAGAGAGAGAGTTCTAGAGGCAACGGAGAGTTCTGAGAAAATAGAGCCAAAACTCACACCACCCCCCCCCCCCCCCCCCCTACACACACACACCCAACTACCCACTCCCAGCTGCCATTGTATGGAGATGCTTCAACCAAGCTATCTGGCTCAGGCCCTAGGAGAGGCTCCGGAGCCAATTGCCCCTCCTCCCCTGGGGGGTGCCGTCTGGCTCCCCTGAGAAGGGGAGGGGGAAACTAGGAGCCACAGACCCAGCCCCGGCGCCACTTCCATGGTTAATCAGTTTACCTGGGATGTGTATTTGGCTGGACCCCCCTGGGGACCTTCCCTGGCCACCCAGGGTCAGAGGATAATTTAAAAGTTCTTCAAAGCCAGGGCCCTTCTCAGAGCCAGCCTAAGACTGGAAACCTGGGAGGGACAAGCTTTACTCTTCAAAGTGAGAACAAATGTGAAAGGATTTAGCACTTAGTAGGTAGTCAATAAATGTTAACTTTGTTTCTCAGGTCTGGGCTTCCCCTCCCCCGCAAAAACCATCTCCAACCAAACCCAATCCTGGCCCTTCCTGAAATTCCACAGGCCATAGGTCGTCTGCATTTTGAACTAGTTGTTCCCACTTCCTTTACTTTGCCTTTCCAAAGCAAGCAGACCCTTTCTCAGACTTCATTTTGTTCAGTCTGTAAATCGGGGCCAGAGTGCGCAGGTTTGCAGTAAGTTCCCAGTTCTGCCATTTCACAGGAAATATTCAATGGTGCCCATTAGGATTGTTATTTCTAACCTCAGCCCTCAGGACAAGAGGACGCTCAACTTAGGGAAACTGCTGCAAAATCTCCATTTAAGTCAGGTATTATAGAGAAGCCCTTCTGGGCTTCCCGTGGCTCCCCTGGACGCTGATCAGGTATGCGCTTTCCATACACCCCGCACACGTGCAACCGCAGACCCGCGCAGGGCGCAGTGCGCTCTGGTCCCCGGGCACCCACAAGGTGCCAGCCCCAGTTCAACCCATCTCCATTGCTCCAGTCCCTCCTTTGTACCAGGTGTGAAATCCCGACAGGAGAATCATCTGCCACTCGGAAGGATCCTCCAACTGGGCCGCCAAATGGCCCAAAAGATCTTGGGCCCTCGCCAATGTAATCAGTTCCCTGCTGAGGACACCAAGGGAGGGCCGAGAGGAAATGGGCGCAGAAACCCCGCGATCACTAACGCTGTCCACCAAGGGCTCCCGGAGCTGCCCCTCCCAGCTCTCCAGTGAGCCTGTCACCCTCCCGCAGTCACCTATAGATGGGCATGGCGAGGTCACACAAACCCGACGTCTGGGGCTTAACGGGGACACACTCAGACCCTGCCACCCTACAGTCCTCTCTCTTTCAGAAGAGCACTAGAGAGTAGGCTCGCTCCCGCTTAACAGAATCTGGGCTCTCAGGGGCTGTGACTTTCACAGCCGCCAGCGTTCGGAGCCTCCAGCTTCTGTCTTCCTTGAAACTCACGCGTTCTGTCCCTTCCCTACTGCCCGCCACCCTACACGCACACTGGTGAAAAATTAAATGTCCCCAGCAGTGCTCACGACAGCCTGTTCCAGTACCCAGCCCGGGTGCTTGCGCTCAGTACTCACCGAGATTGGGGTGTCGGGCAGCGGGGTTGGCCCTACCGGGCAAGCTGTGCAGGACCGGGCTGTCGAAGGGACCGGCGGAGGCGGCGGCGGCCGCGGCCCAAGACGCGCCCACGTCGGCCATGTAGGCGGGGTAGGGGCTTGAGTAGGAGCCTGCGAAGCCCGCACGCCCGTACTGCTCGCGGCCCGTCAGGCCCGCACCCGCAGCTCCGCTACCACTGCTGTAGGCCGCGGCTTCCCGGGCCGCGGCGGCGGCGGCGGCGGCCGCCAGGGACCCAGTGGTTCCCGGGAAGGAGAAGCGCGGCGACACCGGCGGGGGGGTGTAGGCGGCTCCCTCGGCTCCCGCCTGGCTCCAGCCCGGGCTGCCCTGCTGGGTTCCGGGCCCGGCACCCGACGGGGCCCCACCGGAGCTGCCGCCAGACGTGGCTCCGGACGCGGCGCCCCCGCCTCCGCCCTGGAGATAAGACAGGCCCAGCACGGATGAGGGCACCCGCGGCGTGGGCACGTAGACTGGCGAGGACGCAGCGCCCGCGCTGTGCATGAAGGCGCCCGGGCCGCCCGCCTCGTAGGCCCCGGGAGGGGGGCCGTGGTTGGCCGCCATGGCCAAGCTCTGGTACATCGCCCCCGCGAGCTCTCCGCTTCGGAGTCCCGTCACTCGCGAGTCAAGGCGCGATGCAGGGAGAGACAATAATAATAATGATAGAAAAAATAATAATAATAAGGTACAGGTGAAGTCTGTCACATAAACGCAGATCAAAAATCAAAAGTAAAGAAAAATCTCTCAAAAATATACACGTATTAAATCCAGCATCGAGCAAAAACGACTCTAGGCTCTTGTTTATAGGAAAATCCCAAAGTGAAATTTTGGTTCTTCCTGGAGGTGCTGGAGAAGGGGCTGAATCTACCCCTGGGCCTAGAGGTCCCGAGTGGCAGAAGACGCGGGGTGGTGCCTGGGCGCCTGCGTGGGGCACGGGCCTTCGGGTCACGCCTGCGGCCGTGGCCGCGCACAGTCCTCGGGACACCCGCAGACTCCGGCGTTGGGTGCAATAGGCTGGTTCCAATGCAGAGGGACCGGCTGCGTCCTTCTACAGGTCCTAAAAGGGGAACAACAAAAAGAGGAAGTTCATCAGGAGCCTCGCTATGCTCAAGGTTGCTTCTCTCGAACTGCTAACCCAGGAAAACGTCACTCTCTCTCAAAGAAGCCTGCGGCTCCCAAGGAAGCTGCGGTATTTGTCATGCGGAGGCCCGGGAGTCTGTCTGGCTGCTTCGTGGAAGCCTAGGGAGGGCAGTTTTAGGGACATGGGACTTCACGGTTATTGGACATGTAATTATGGGTAGTGACCCAGGTCATTTTTTTTTTTTTTTTGTATTGCTTGTCAGGAACGACTTGAATTTTGCCTTATTTTTCAAGCATATTCTTGTCACAGTATTTTCTAAGTTCAAGGGTTTCGGGTTTCCAGGGCAGTGCCTGGGACCCAAGAAATATCGCTAGTCTCTGTCCCACCTAACCCCAAGTGTCCCAGGCTGTGAAAAAACTTTAGATTGCCCGTGAAAGACAAAGACAAACTCTATAAAAACCAGCAACCGAGGAAAATTTTCTTTGTAATCTTTTTTTTTTTTAAGTAGAGGTAGAGTCTAAATGTTTATATATGAGCACAGTGTCTGCTGAATTTCTGTGAAAAGGATTGTGAAAATTCTTATCCATCCACACACTTTACCATGTGGAAGTCAAATCAGACGAGATATTTTTCCTGCAAATAATTATATTTTAGCAATGTTTCAGACTGGGTTTCAAAACCAGAAATGTGAAAGGAATGTCCAAGTTCACTTTACAGAACTACTCCCCGGGCCATTTGGATTTACTGAATGGGTTTTTCCATATAAAATCCCTGGTTCACCCATGTAGGGAATCAGAACACCAATGACACTGCTTGAGGGGGAAGAAGCATTCATGGGACTTGGTTATATCCTTGTATCCTGTGTTTTTATTTTCCCAAGCCATTTTTTTCTGATAAAATAAGGGCTTTACATTTTGAAGCACCTGCTTTGTTCCAGGTCCTTATTGTCACAGCTCCACTAAGGAAAAGTGTGTCGCCTCCATTTACGAAAGAGAACTGAAGCATCATTAGAAAGTTTTGAAACTTGTCAAAGATCAAAATACAATTAAGGGGAGTGAGGGACAGAATCTGTGGGCCTCCAGGGTTTGAGCCTGACCGCGACACTCCCACTTTTCTCCTTAAGATGAGGTAGTCACTTTTAACAGTAGTTTCTTTTTCATTGCAATAGTAGAATTAAAGATATTAATTGACCTTTATTACACGAAATCCAGGCTCCATCACTTACTGAATGGATGACTTTAGACACATTAGTTAACCTCTGTGCCTCAGTTTCCTCATCTGAAAAAATGCAAATGTTAAAGGCATCTATCTTGTAGAGTCACTTGAGGATTGTGAGGATTATAAGTTACTATATATAAAGCACTTATAACAGGGTTTTTATAAAAGTTATAACAGGCACAAAGTTCTGTACAATTGTCAGCCATTATTAGTACAGATTTCTAGTGTGCCATAAGACAGTGCCTCAGATATAATCATACTATAATAAATGGGCATTTTAATTATTGTAAAAAATTCTGAAAATGGAATTTCTAATACACATTATATAATGTTTTTAACCATTTTTGCAACATCACTAATGATAATGGAGTTAACACCACTGTATCCTATATGTCACATGTTAACTCTGAGATGGTTTGTTATTTGCTTTCAAAACTACACAACAAATTATTGTTTTGTTGGACATTTCTTTCCAGTAAGAAGTCTGGCTAGACAGTGGATACAAAAAAATCTGATCTGAGGAGTACCTGTCTTAGTCCGTGGATGTGACTCTTGAACTCCTGGTTGTGAGTTCAAGCCCCACGGTTGGGTGTAGTGATTACTTAAAAATAAAATGTTAAAAAAATTTGATCTGAGATCACTAACTTCACTCTTTGAAAATGAAGATAAAAAAATAGTACCTCATAGGAATCTCTGGGCTTCAATAAGTAAATACATAAGTTTATTTTGATAAAATATTCAGTATTTATTTTTTACATCAAATAGTTTTTCTATTTCATTGTATTTTCTCTAATATTCAACTTCTGCAGTTCTAAAACATAACATCATACTTTTTTCTCACATAACTGCAGGAAAGGAAGATTTATAATTTTGTAAGACAACTTCCAATATACATACAGACACTAATTTACAAGCTTTAAAATGTAAATGCTAAAAATGCCATAAATCTAGCATTTGTCTTTATTACATGCTCTGCCTTTTTAAATGGCTGGTACATTAGCTGGGCGTTGGATTACTGAACAACAGAAGGTGGAGAAAATACCCCTCAATACCTTTCTGGAAAGACAAGAAATCATTCTGCCGGTTTCTATTATTAAGCCTCGGTTCAGGCATCCGCGGAGGTAGCAGCGCGAGCTACTGAGAATGGCAGGTCGGGCCTCGCCATGGGGGCTCAGGCCTGCTCCCCGGTTTTTCTTCCCTTCCTGGCCACGCATTCCAGTTCACCTCAAATTCACAGACCAAACAGGAAATGCTTTCTTAGCGATTTAGCTCACAGCCCTTTTCCGATTTATTTCTGATTGCGGGAGGATTGAAAGACTGCCCTAATGTCCCCGTCTATATACAAGTCACTCTAGCTCTTTCAGCTCAGCTCGCGTCTCGGTTCTCGGCCTGCTGCGCAGAAACTGTCACACACGAACGCACCACACTCGCCAGCAATAATAAAATTGGCCGCTGCTGGGGAAGGTGGAGACTCAGAAGTTGGGGGGGGGGGGCTATCCCAATGGAACCTTTCTTTAAAAGCCTGAAACCTGTTCCTGGCTGTCTATTCCTTTTCTGAGGAACCCAGGAAATACTCTCCTGCGGCGCTTCCCCAACCTTCCCCGCAGGGTCACCGCGCTGCCCCAAATCCTACCAGCCCTGGGTCCCTCTCCACCGTTTCCAAACCGAAAAGCCTCTTCTTTGCCTCAGCCTGGTGGCAATTTACCACCCAGGCATCCTGCTCTCCCTGAAGGACCCTCTGACCCCCAGCTCAAAGCCAAGCGACGCGGCAGCTAGCCGTGGCTGGAGGAGGGACGTCAAAGCTTTCCTCCCGGGTTCCGGCCCTCGGCTACTTTCGCCCAGAAGTAATGTGAGTGGGTGGGGTTGTTAGCTTCGTAGGTGGTGTTTGACTCCCTGGACCCCAGTGAGGAGGGCTAGGAGGCTGACCAGAAGGGCATAAAAGGTCCAGGCGCTCAGTAGCCGTTCCCGACTTGGAAGCGCCTCCCTGGGGCCCGAGGCCCAGTCGCGCTGCCTCCCACCACCACTCTGGAGTCCCGGGAGTCCCGACGGGCCATGCAGCTCCGTCTGAGCCCCTCCGTGAGGCCTGTCCCGGGTCAGTTGGTCAGTGTGATTTCGCACGGCCATCATCCCCATCCAGGATCTGCCTGAGAGGTGCAGAAACAAGGACTGGAGAATATACACGCGGGGGCGGGGATTAAAAACGTTCAAGTTCACACACACACGCACACACACACCTTAAAGCACTTCGAATATCCCTCTTCGCTTTCCCTCCAAATCTTACTTTGATATAAAGACGCTATTAAGCCAATGCCCGAAGTCGAGCAGTCTTTGACCAATTGGGGGGCGGAGGGGGTGACCAATGTCTCCTTTCCATCCACCAGTTACCTCTCTACTCCCAGGCAAACAGCGCAGAGGAGCCCTGGATTCGCGGACTGAGGGAGAGAGCAAGGCGACGGAAGAAAAAGCCGTACCTGCCGGGACTTGAGCTTCCTGGAGGGCGGGCGCGCGCTCCCCTGGGCGCCCCGGGAGCTACGGCAGCGGCGGTGCTTCTCGCAGCCACTGTGCCCGCCGCCTCCGCTTCCCCCAGCTCCCAGAGCGGGTCCCCTCGCCCCTGCGCTCGCGTTCCCGGGCGCTGACTGGCCTGTGGGAGTCACGTGCAAGGGCGGGGGGCGGGGGTGCGCCGCAGAGGCTGCACCTCCGCTCGGCGCCGGGCTGCGGGGCTGTACAAAAAACTCCCCCAGCAGGCAAAGTCCAGGCGCACGGATCTCGGAAAATGCTAAAGTGCCACTGCCGGGGCGCGGGGCTTCACCCACCGCCGTGCCTGAGGTCGATTCGGTTTGCAATTTTGCCCAGGGTCAGCTTTATTCAGGAGCTCCCTTCTCCTACCTCCTCCCTCCACCCCATCCCCCACCCGCGCCTCCGGGTGGTCCGGGTCTTGCCGCAGCCCTGGACTCACAGGACAAGGGGCGGGGCTGATAGAAGGAAAGGTGACCTCTTGAGAGAGACCCCTAATCGGCTGTGGAGCACCGGGTCACCAGGAGAGCCCGGCTGGCTACGAGTCTCCGGGAGGTAGTGGACAGCGGGGATCCTGCTAGCCTCGGACTGCTAGGGGAAAAGACACAAAACCTGGGACTGGCCCACTGAAGTCAGAACGCAGTGACGGAAGCTTCCCTTTCGCCTTCTCAGCAGCCTGGGGAGTCCTCGAGGCGGCCTCTGCAGCCCTCAATTTTATGTATCTATGCAAAGGGTGCAAAACGTGCACCCTTTCCTGTCGACGCCTCCCATCTCCTATGGCCTCTCAGTTTCAGACCTTTCCGTTCTCCCTACAGCCTGCCGCACGGCTGCACCAATCCAAAGGACGTGGCAGGGGCTT